TAGACCTAAGGAGAAACTTCCTGACAGTTAGAACAATTAACCAGTGGAACAACCTGCCTCCAGAAGCGTGAATGCTCCAACACTGGAAGTCTTTAAGAAGAGACTGGACAGCCATTTGTCTGAAATGGTATAGGGTTTCCTGCCTGAGCAGGGGGTTGGACTAGATGACCTCCATGGTCCCTTCCAACTTTATTATTATTATTATTATTATTATTATTATTATTATTATTATTATTATTATACCGAAGCCGCACTCACCCCATTGCCGGCAATGCAAAAAGAGTTGCGATACGTCGCGACATGTCATGTGATGTGGCAAGTTTGACACCCGTGATTTAATGCATCTAAAGCTGTTCTCCTTATATTATGGGTTTCATGCACACATTTGCTGGATTTGCATCCATGTTCCTCAGCAGGTATGCATGGTCGTCCCATGGAAATTTTTTTGAATATATTTTAGAATAATGTTTTTGACAGAAATATTTATAGATCCTAGCAATGGTCTAAGAGTTTGCAAATTATGCTTTCATTATTCTCAAGCAACTATACAATGGAAATATTTGGGGCGCCAATGAAAATTTCCAACTTTAAGATGCCAATTTCAGAACAAAACATATATTATGATTATTGTGTATTATGTGGCTTTGTTTTGTTTTTGTTTTGTTTACATCATTGTTTGTTTTGTTTCGTTTTGTTTTTGTTACATCATTCAGTTGTTACATCAATTATAAAATATCCCTATCCCTGTGTGATATAGCAAATACAGCAAAAGGCATTGATGGGCCTGTTTCCTACATAATATGTGACCACAATGTCAGGCAGTTGTATCAGGGAAAGGCTTAACACACACCTCTTACATTAATACTTTGCACATTTTGAATCACAGACTGAGGCCATGACTTTGGCTATCAAATCTACTATGAATGCCTCAACTGAATTGAACTTGAGATTGCTAATTCTTCCGCTAAGCATTCAGTACATAGCAAACTTTCTTTCTTTTCTTTTTCTTTTTTTTAAATCATCCTAAAGCTATTTTAAAAAGTTCTCTGTTCTGCACCTAAAGACCACTAAATAGGTTTTTTTTTTTTTTTACAGGAACACAGGTCGAATTGTCAGAACTTCAACACCTTTGGCAATACTATGAGAGAGAAATCTGGAGCCAAATTTCAAACTGATGTAAAAGCCTAAGGTGATTTGGAACATTATTTTTGCCTTGGCATGTCTTTATAAACCTTATATTGCCACATTATCAGGGGTTTATGTACTCTGCCTGGAAACTCTTTGCTGGTACTGTAAAATCGGTTGTTATGGTAACTATTATGACATCAAATATAATATTATGATCGTGGGTAGGGTAACCAGTTCAGACAAAATATGAAATTGTACCTTTGGTACCTCTTAAATGTCTGGATCAGCTTTATCAGCTAGTTGGATCTGACCCATCCAGGGAAAAAAGCAAACCCCTATAGTTTGAAGTTTAAATCTCAGACCTAAGAAAGCTGAAAGCTTCTTACAAGAAGAGAAATATTAGGTTCAGACTCTCACATGCTACTTCCAGAGGAAATTCCATGCTTATGCTCATACAGTTTTTTTCCTTCAACTTTCTTTTAAATCTTCAGCTTTATTAATATTTTCCTGAGTGTAAGCCAAAGTAAATATCATGTGACTTGCTTATGAGTAGGATTTCACAGGATTATACTGTTAAACAGCTTTAAATTTGCAATCCTTTCCCAATATTATGGTTATCATGAAACATAAATTCATAGCATTGATGCCTACTGTAGGCTACTGTTGCAAGAATGCTGGATTAAACCAAGAAGTAAATTTTAAGGTGGTATCTAGTTTTAAGGAATAATAATGAACTTCAGAGTCAATGGGGTTCTATCATTTTAGTAATTGCTATTAGAGAAAGAAAAGTATTGGTATTTCTTATACCCTAGCTGAGCTTTAAAACAATGGGTTTTTTTTACCTCAAAGCTGCATTTTTATTATATTGTACTCTGAGGATCATAAAGGATATGTCTGATAATTAGCGACTGTTACTGGCAGAATGGGATAAAAACATTCCAGCTCTTTTTAGAATCTTAAATAATTAAAACTTCAAAATAGGTGTGTTAAGGTTAATCAACCTATTTTCAAACTTCAAATGACTCAGCGAAGTAAATGCATGGTGCTAAAAGCTCATTGAATTTTAGCTGTCCAATCTGGGGATGCTCTGGAAAACATAAGGTGGAGACTGGAGACCTACAACTAATCAACTTGGATTGGCCTAGCATAAAAAATATAGTATCTGCATTTAATGTGCAGAAAATAATTTGAAAGAACTGAATCAGCACAAAATTAATCTTATACATACTTGTTAAAATTATTCTGGCTTCCTCACAATTATCCCAAATCTTTTCTTTCTTGATATTATATAGTGAAAAAAATTAAAATATTGTCAATCTATTAATATAACATATTCTTGTGAAGAATGCTGCATTGTCATAAGACTAGACTCTCTCCTCATTCCAAGATAAAATCAATATTCTTATTTCTGAATTACAAAATGGATTTCTAGCAACCTGAAGACTTACAACACCACACACCTTGTCATCAATTATTCCCTTATATATTTTGATATAGATTTACCACATAATAATTCTTCACCTTCTGACTGTGCTCATGTAAGGTGTTTTAATGGGACTGCTGTAATGATGTCCTATCAGAATAGCAATACTCCACAACTTTCAGACAGCTGTGCAGATTAATTCAAACTGCTGGATATTAATTGTGAAGAGTGCTGTTAGGAATCCTTATATGTCAGTGATTCAACACACTGGCCAAATAATTACAGTATTAAAAGAAGAGGGCAGGAGATGGCAAAAGAAAAAGCAGCTAATGGTTAGAAAAAAAGAGCATCCCTTTTCATAAAAGAAAGCAAGTGATGTACAATTAAGAGTAGAGAAAAGGAGATAAATAGTATCATTCTCAAAACAGCATCAATAGAGCAGGATTTAAATTTACTAATGGCTACAACATCTACAAACGCTAACATATGCATACATGAATATCTTATGTTTTATATCTTATGTATTTTACTCTATAAATGTTTATCTGCAATGAAACCTCACCTTTATTAGCATGTCCTCAAGTTATACATGCCTGTCATGTAATATAAAGCAGTAAGTACAGAAAGTTAGTCACATCCATACATCTAAGGTCTTGATTAGGATAAGTACTTAGGTCATTTGGCATCAACTTCATTATAGCTATAAATTTTCTAATGATGTGGGCTGTTGCAGGATGATTTAAAAGTAAACTGCAAACTCAGGGACTCAATTTAGATCAGGAAAACAGCTAACATTTCTCTAGTCCTTATGTCAGGGTTCATACTATTACCCTCTCCTTCTCCCACCTTGTATCTGCTTTTTCTTTTCTTTTTTAAATTCAGTTATTCAATTCAGTGTCCAGTTTTGCGCTTAAAAGAAAACTGTCCCCAAATGAAAGAAAGAACAAAAACTTATGACCAACCCATCATATGTATTATATTTCACAGAAATAAAAATGGGTTTACTTTGCATTTTGCAGTACTATGGGGTTTAATGCTTAGCTGAAATCAGTGCTAACTTTCCAATGATATAACAATCCCTTCTGGAAGAGAAAAATGAGTATGATATGCACATGATGCTTCCCAGTATAGCCCTCTCTGTTTATTTCACCTTGGAGCTAGAATCCTGTGCATGTGAAGACTGGTTTTCCTCTCTCCTAAAAGAATGGGAAAGTCCCCTGGAGCAGCAAGCCTGGGCATACATTAACAGACACAGTACTGTGCTTTATTTGACTACTTCATTTACATCCCACCTATATTCCCCAAAGGAACTGGGCAGTGTATGTAGGCGTTTTCTGGAAGCTTGCAATACAGGCAGCAGATTTGCTCAGGGTGACTGCTTTATTTGCAGGCCACAGCATGGCTAAAAGAGCATGCTTTTCCAACAATATTTTTATGCACTCTGTCATATAGCAAGTTATTGCATCAATCCTCTTCAAACTAGGGGAACTGATTGCAAAATTGATTCCCTCACTCCTTCAGGGAAATGGTCACCAATGAATCTGCTGTTCCTGTCAAAAATGACTGCAACCACCACTACATGCAGAAAGCTTAACCTGCATATGTAGTAGGCTTCATTATGCATAGATCCCTTTTGTTAGATGTTATCCAACTTTGGCTGAAGTTCTGATGTTCTATATTCAAGTTTCCCTTTCTGGTATCATGGGATTCCCTGCAACTTTTAATAAGGAACAATTGCAGCAATTCATTTAAAAATACACAAAATATTTTTATCCAGCACCACTGTACAACACTGAAGGAAAATTGAAATGGTGGATAAACCACTCTTAAATTTGAGTGATGTTACCAAAAAAAGTCAACAGCCGAGAATTCATTCCTGAGCAAATGGGCGCCAGGATGTGTAAGTATGATGGATGTTGTACATTCTGGGCTACATTTACCATAGGGATATTAAAGGATGCATTTTGTCCTGAATTATTACTTACCACTTATCTTGATTTTTTTTAAAAAAGATATTGCTTTCAATTCAAACAAGAAAAATTTAGAGAGATTTTCATGGTTGTATCAAATTAATAGAAAATGTATTATGAAAGAATTTCTCCACTATTTTTTTTTCAGATCAGAAGTGTGGGCCACAGAGAGCTACAGCGATGTGTAGATGAAAATAGTAGTAAAAGCAACTTCCTCAGCCACCTTGTAATGATAAAGCTCATACAAATTATATAAAGTAGCTTGAAAGAGCAAAAAACAAAAACTTTTGGGAAACTGGAAGACAGATTTCAGATCAAGCAAAAATTCTACTTATATGAGCTACAGGTAAGATTTATGAACTTTTAAAAGGGTTTATAAAGTATTTATATATCAGAAATAGATTATGCAAAGTGTGATATATTCACAAGATAGTAACATCACTTTATTAAAATAGTGTGACTGTTTTAAGGTGTCTTACCTGTTCTGGTTGCTTTGTTGATGGATGGTTGGTTACACATGGGTGACCGTCTGGGGAAGAAGGGAGAGAAAGAGTCAAAAATGAAAGGCATCTTCATGAAATAATGTATTCATTATTCACTAGGTTCTTGGGAAAGACTGAGATATTTTTTAAAAATAATTAAAACTACCAAAAGAATTAATAATATAAAGGCCACTCAATGCAACATAGAAAATACATGGTTTGAGATTACACCTGTTTCCCCCCCCCCTCCCCCTGGGTCTGGGAGAACAATGTTCAGCAACCTAATGCGTTCCACATATGATGAACTTTCAACTTTCAAAATAAGTATGGCCATATAATGTACACAAGGAAGGTTGGACCTTTCCCCATTTTTAGCAGATGGGACTGATTTTTTTCTTTTCTCTTTTTTATAATAACTGCCATTTGTATTGGATTTCCCTTCTCAAAAGTCAGAAGTCAGGCTGCTGATTTCAGTATTTAGGGATGGTTTAAATGAAGCCCATCTTTGATCTGCATTGTGTTGAAGCACACTTACATAACGGAGAACTTATGCAATGTAAAAGGTGCATTTAAGTAAAAACAAACTTGGCAGGAAACAAAAAAAAGACCACACTTACTTGCTAGGTGCTCGATCCTGAAGGTTGGTTAATGCAGCAAAATTGTTCCGTACAGTACGTAAACTGGCAAGCACCTGTAGCAAACAAAGTGCATAAAAATTTACTCTCAAATTTTTCAGGTATGCTGCTTTTTTCTCCCTGATTTTTTTGGGCAACAATAAACAGACAGCTTTCTGAACAGGTGGCTTCCTTAACAAGTTATTGTGTGATCTGAAGAGAAACCAGAGTTATAAATCTTTTCAGGATTTTGTTTTGTGCCGGAAGTGTTTGCTTATTCTTTTCCAATGCATACATAATAGAATGATACTAGGATGATAGTTTTAGTGCTCTGTTTGTTACTAAAACACCAAGCATTATTTGTTTTTAAAAAGTAGTCTTTGTTTTAGGGAAAGCAACATTTCCTAGAGAACAACTCCTATTCCTCTCTCAAATGACAAAATTTTGACAATAAATGTTTTGTGCTAATTGTGTCCAAACTATTACAAGAATAAAATAACTGTGCAGTAAAATCCTTTTAATATTTGGTAACTAAGTGAAATAAGGATATTTTCAAATAAATTCATTCAATCCTGTTTTATTGATAACACAGTGACATGTATGTTTGAGAATAACTCTTTATATGCTTAAAATGAAATAATTACCATTCTAGTGCCATAACTGATACCAGGTAGAAGAAATATTTATAAATGCAACTGCTTAGGATATCTATAGTCACCAGATTATTAGACTGGCTTTGAATCCTGAACATCTGTCTTGGGGATTTTTGTCAAGCAGTGTGCCTTTGCAATCATCATTCAGATGTGTCTGGCACCATCGAAGTGCATCATGTTATGTAGTGTCTAACTAATGACAGATTGTAACTTCATCAAGAAATACAGGTAAAAATAAAAGTTGTTTCTTTTGCCAGTTAAGATTATACTGTAGCTAGGATTATAATTCTTCTAGCTCTATAGTTGGAAGCCTGAAGCTGAAAATAAAGATTCTCCCTTTTTCCATCTGGCCATATAACATGTGGTACCTACCTGAGCAAACGGTGTCACAATCAAGTCATCTCCATGTCTAGAAAACAAAACATAGAACATAAATCAATATTGAATTCAGTATATGACATATTTTAAGATCTCCTTCTATATTTCAGCTCAAAATCATCACTATTTTATAAATTATTTTCATGAACCTCACCATGTTACTTCTTCTTGCTTTATTCTTCCCACCTCTGTTGTAATTTCTAAGCATCCATGATACACTTAGACTGTGGCTTCAATTGGAAAGAAGTCACAACTATATAAAGAGATTGGTATGAATCCTAGTCTGTTTTCTCACCATTTATAACAACAGAATTAGGGAGAAGACTGGCAATCACAATTACTTGAAACAAACAATAAAAACAGTAAAACAAACAAGGGTTCATGAGCATCAACTAACAGTCAAAAATCTCTGATCTCAAACCACATTGATAATAAACAATACCAGTTCAATTAGGTAGGAACAAAAATCATTGGGCATGCCAACACCCACCACACAGGTGAATTTCTACTGGTATTCTACTAAAGGAGAATTAACAAGCATATTGATCTAGATCCAGCATATAAATACGTAAGAAACAAGACCATTCAAACAACCAATCAACAAGAGAACGAATCAGCTGCTCAGAATTTAAATATAGCTCCAAACAAACAATCAATCACACAACCAACTGACCATGCTGGCACACAAGACATTTATAATCTAAGAAGAAAAGGACAAGAAAATCCTGCTGATGATGTTACCTAGTCTAGTAACGAACCTTTCAGAAAATAAATCAAAACAAGCTTGGAGAGCAAACCACTGCCAAAATCCACGATTACTTTTTATTTGAGAGGGCAGCCCTTTTAAGCACCAAAAGCAACTGTATTAACTATTGCTAATAGAGAACAATTTATAAAATTGAACAAACAACTGCAGATGGTAAGGAATTATTTTGTGGATAATAAAAGAATTTTCTATGCAGCCCAAATGTTTTCATGCATTTAATTTTATGTGAAAGTTAACACATAAAGATATGGATTTATATGATACTTTCTCTTGATATAAACAGATATAAACAGTATCTGTTTATATTAAACAGAGAGATAATACAGTTAGTCCTCGACTTACAAGCACAATTGAGCTCAAAATTTCTGTTGTTAAGTGAGACATTTGTTAAGTGAGTTTTGCCCCATTTTACAACTGTTTGTGTAAGTTAGTAGCTAGTTTGTTAAGTGAATCTGGCTTCCCTATTGACTATACTTGTCAGAAGGTTGCAAAAGGTGATCACATGAGCTTGAGACATAGCAATGGTCATAAGTATAAACCACTTGCCAAGCATCTGCAATTTGATGACATGATCATGTTGCAAATGTCGTAATTGTGAAAATGGTCCTAAGTCACATTTTTTACCTTTTGTAGTATCATTGTAACTTTGAAAGGTCACAAAACAAACTGTTGCAAGTTGAGGACTAGAAAATGACTGATTCCTGTTTTAAATTGGCATGTTCAAAAAGAGTGAAAACAAATAATCACGCTTTGTAATGAAGCCTGACAAACGTGGTACCCACTAACAGAGAACAATTACAAAACCCCACACTGCTTCAATTCTGGTTTCTTAGGACATCAGCAAGAGAAGCTGGGGGTTTTCTCTCTGGACATTTACACCAAACAAAACACAATCAGGGATTTCCAGTTGGAACACTATGTGCAATAGTCACAGAAGAAAATTCCCTAATTTGGTTGTTACATCTACTGGTGCAAGGAGGAATAATTTGGCAGATTGAACCTACTGTTAAATCTGATTTATTGGGATTTGCAAATTGGCTCATATGGTTCCAATTACTACTGCAATTTAAATGTTTTTTTTTTAAACCATAGACAATACCTGACCATTTTTGAAAAAAGGTATAATGTACTGAATTATAAAGCAATGTTTTTTAAAAGAAAGAACCAGCTATTTCATAGCTTGGCAGCCTGGGCTGCAATTTTATGATCTTTCTCCTGGGAATAAACTCTATTCATGTCATTGGGATCTATTTCTAATGAAATAAGTATTTGATTATGATGTATTGGTTGCATTTATGGCTATATTTTTTTTCCTCTGTAGGGATTTGCATTTATTCACTGAAAGATTCACAGTGATGGAACACTGCTATCATGTCCCCCCCTCGTCCTTCTCTTCATTAAATTAGACATACCCAATTCCAGCAACCGTTCTTTATATGTTTTAGCCTCCAATCCCCTAATCATCTTTGCTGCTCTTCTCTATACTCTTTCTAGAGTCTCAACATCTTTTTTACATCGCGGTGACCAAAACTGGATGCAGTATTCCAAGTGTGGCCTTACCAAGGCATTGTAAAGTGGTATTAACACTTCACGTGATCTTGATTCTGTCCTTCTGTTAATGCAGCCCAGAACTGTGTTGGCCTTTTTGGCAGCTGCAGCACACTGCTGGCTCATATTTAAGTGATTGTCCACTAGGACTCTGAGGTCCCTCTCAGTTACTACTATTGAGCAAGATACCCCCTATACTATACCTGTACATTTGGTTTTTCTTGCCTAAATGTAGAACCTTGCTTTTTTCACCACTGAATTTCATTTTGTTAGATAGTGCCCAGTGTTCAAGTCTGTCCAGATCCTTCTGTATCTTAAGCCTGTCTTCTGGAGTGTTGGCTATTCCTGCCAGCTTGGTGTCGTCTGCAAATTTGATGAGTTTCCCATCTATCCCCTTGTGGGTGATATCTTGGTGTCCCAAGTGACCTGATCAGACTTCTCAGATCACTGTATACTTTACACTGAGGCAACAGTGAGAACACTTTATGGGTGACACAGATTGGTTCAGGATCAGTAAGGAAGTTAGACAGGAATGTATTTTATTACCATTTTTGTTCAATCTATATGCTGAAGGATTCATGCAGAAATTTTATCTGGAACTGCCTGATGTTGGAGTAAATATTGGGGGAAGAACCATAAATAATTTGAGATAGCAAATGATACAATACTATTGGTTGGGTGACCTTGAGTTAATCACTTTCTCCTAGGAAACAGGCAATGAATGGCAAATCACTTCTGAAATCTTGTTAAAAAAAAACTTCAGGGACTTGTCCAGATATTGCCAGGAGCCAAGGTTGACTTGAGGGCACAGAGACACATATACAGAAATACAATAAAGATGAGAATAAGATATTTGGAGTTGGTAAGATTGATGAAAAAAGCATCCTACTACAGTCAAATTAGAACTAAAAACCCGAGAACAGAGATCACCAGAACAGTCTCTTCGCATTAAGCAGACAGAAACATGCTGTAGAAGCTTGTCTAACCCTATAATCACCATAACAAGGTAAAGGAAAACTAACATTACTAAAAATAAAATAAAATACAACATTGTAATAATGAAGATGCCCTCAGGGTAAAAAAAATCCCCTTCCTCTGTGTCCTGAAGGTGCTTTTTCAAAAGGCAACTGGACTTTTTGTTTTTTCCTTCTTCTGACTGTGAACCATAAGCTTTTTGGATCAGAAGTGAAACATCTTCAAGGACAAACAAAGAAAGTCCAGTTGCGTCTTGAAAAAGCACCTTTGGGACAACCATGACTCAGATGACTGACAATCTCCACAGACCCTTCTTCTGTGATACTTCAGTTCTGAAGTAACCTGTGCTTGGAGGTAAATAGTGACAAAAAGTTGGTCCCTTTGCTGCCACCACGCCTTCATAATAAACTATGTTCTCCCTTCCCCACCAGCTGAGGATTGAAGGGGAAATCCTCATCCAAACCTCAATCTAAGTAAATTATAGGAAAGGAAACCCAACAAAATTTTGCCAGTAATTTGCTCAGCCAATCTGAGGCTGGTGCTAGACAGTGTTTCTCAACCTTGACAATTTTAAGGCATGTGGACTTCAACTCCCAGAATTCCACAGCCAGCAATGCTGGCGAGAACACTGTGCTAGAAGGTAGCCAGTCAACTCCAGAATTCACATACACACAAAAAAATCAAGCTTATTACAGATGCCAAAGAAAGATAAAGTTCCAGACATGCAATGCACCGTTAAAAAAAACCATAAAATAAAATATAGAAAAACCCTAATGTGTTTCTACCTACAACAAAACAACTCCCAAGTTTGTAATCTTGCCTGAAGTAACCTCCCTCATCTGGGATTCCAGCCAACTACAAAAAATGCCAACTCTTCCTGCCAAAAACACAATAAAACCTCTGCTTTTCCTCTATTGGTTCTTGGGGGTCAGATGATTCCCCCTCAACACCTAATGACGGATTATTACTTAAAGGGCCAGCTGCTCCTTGCTACAAATATGTCAAGAGTTTACTGAAACTTGTGCTCAGGTTAGTTATTATCAGTGCCATCAACTTAGAAAAAAATTGCAATATTTTATTGCAAATGTTATTCCTTAAGGTCCTAGGGTCTTGTTCAAATATAAAAACAGTTGAATCTGTTTCCTTCCTAGATATATTGATATAACTTACTGCCAAACAAACTTATTTTTTCCTGTATATAACAGGAGTTGTAGGTATATAAAATTGGCTTCATTCTTTTTTTTCCCATAGTGAATCAAATTTAAGCCAAATAAAAAAGAATTTTCACCCTTCTATTTTACTTAGCAAAACACTTCAGATTTTGCTAACAACTCAGGAAATAATGAGCATTTTGGAGATAAAGCAAATGTCAAATGCACTGCACTATACAGAAAGAAAGAATGTCAACCTTAGCAAATTTCTAAATATGGGAAAAGGTTATTATTTTATTCTTTAAGGCAGCGTTCTCAGCCTTGACATCTTTAATGTGTGTGAACACTGCTTTAAGGTTATAGCTGAAGAAGACAGGAAAAGCCTCATTCAGCCATTATTAGCAAATTTCTTAGTTCAAAAGAAAGGGTTTTTTTCCCTTCATTTTCTCCATTCTCTATATCTACAAAAGCTTCTGTTTCTATAATTTTGTTTGTGTGTAAAGAAGCAAATGTATCAAGTAAGCAAAATCAAGATTTTTAAAATTAAAAAAAAAAGAATTCTTATTCATGGTGGTGAACCTATGGCACGGGTGCCAGAGGTAGCACTTGGAGCCCTCTCTGTGGGCACATGTGCCGTTGCCCCAGCCTTGCCTCCACCCACGACTCCCCTCCTCACCAGCAGCCTCCCTGGAGGAGAGTCACCCCTGAGCGTGGCCCACACAGAGCAGCGCAGCCAAGGACATGGCAGCCAGGCAGCATAGACAAGACTCTGCCCTCACGCCCCAACGGGCACAGTTGATGCTGCGGGGGGTGGGCAGAGGGCATGGCTGCCATGGCGCTGCTGGGCTGCCTGGGCGATCTGCAGTGGGTCCTGGAGGCAGTAAGTGGCCTTGCGGGCAGGCAGGGTGGGGTGGAATGGGGGCAGGGCAGGGGGTGGAGTGGGGTGGGGCCAGTTTTTGGGCACTCGGTCTCTAAAAAATTCATCATCACTGATATATATGCTCAATTCATAGTCAATATATAGTCAAGTAAAAAAAGACTTCAGACTGGTGAAACATTGGGAATGTGGACAGCATTTTATGGTACTCTTAGCAAAGGCTGCCATGAGGGTAAGAAGCAAAAATCCCTTTAGTTGAACTTTGTTCTAATGAATTCGTAGCCATTTCTACGTAGTTTTCTGGCAGCAATACAGAAATCATCTGCCACAGCCTTCTTCCAGGAAACTTTTCCTCAACTTTTTTCTAGCCTACAGCCATGGAATTCCTCTGCAGTTCTTTTCCAAATGCAAACCAGATCTGACGGCTTAATTTTAAAGATCAGCCAAGGTCAGCTCAACATACGCCACAGCAAATTTGCCTATTTAAAAAAAGGCCATATAGTGCCTTGGGCTAACTGCAAAACTAGTTCACGCTATTAGCTCTAGCACTCTAGGATGCTTTTTATTGCTCCTATCCAAAGTTTAACTTTTTTTATGAACACATGACACATTTCCAATGAATACTGCATAGCTGAGTGTGGAAATTTCAGATTGACTATTTAATTAAAATAGTATAAAACAAATCATGCATGGGTGGAGCAGGAGGTCTGGTAGGTATTACAGGAAGAATCTGTGGGTGTTATATTTCCTCCTCTTATATACAGTGTTCTGCCTGGCAAAGCATTACTTTTATTGTTACAAAGTCAACTTGAGTGTTTAAAACAGAAAAGTAAAGAAGAAGGAGAAGGGAATGGATCAAAAAAAGAAGAGAGGGGGAAAAAGAGGAAAAGCATATTTGGGAGGCAGCAAAAAAAGAAATCCAATACTAAGTGTTCAAAATTAAATATGGAGCTTAGAAAGCAAACTAGAGGTACTAAGAATCAGTCTTCCAAAAAACCTTAGCCACAAGGAATCTAAAACCAACTATTGCTTTAAACAGGGAGTAGAAAGAGGACTGGCTATCTATGCAAAATGGGAAGAGGCTTCAAGGAAATTCCCCAAATGAGAACTTAATAGCCACTAAGGCAGGGGTGTCAAACTCGCCACGTCACATAACGTGTCGCGACGTATCGCGGCTTTTCCCCCACTGCCGGAGCTAGGATGGGGACAGTTTCGGCATGACGCATCCGGCCTGTGGACCAGCAGTTTGACACCCCTGCACTAAGGTAAAGATCTAAGATAATCTGTAAAAGTATCATTCTGCTTCAAAAGAAGTGAAAGAAAACTCATACAGTTTTCTTCTATTTTTCTGTTCAAAAGGAATTGGTCCATTTTTGCTATTAATTTGTTCAATGTAAAATTCTCACTTTATAATTAGTAAAGTTGTATTAGCTATGTTGAAAATAAAGAAGCTTGCGCAGATTCAGAAATTCTAATTATTTTAATTAAAACATGGTAACCCAGTCAGAAGACCTTGTCAACATAATAAAATTGCAGTAAAGAATATCCTTGCCTTCTGAAGAGGTTGCGATAGAATTCCTACAACAAAGTTATCAGTTATTTTACCTTCTGTTACAGATAATCTATGATCCTGTAAACTTGTTTGACAATTCAACCATTCTTATTGTTACTATTCTCCTAATATAATTTAAATGTGCTTCTGTGAAATTTCCATTCATGAGTTCTAATGCCTTACATTTTCTCCATATTAACCATTCTCTCGCTTGAAAAAACTGATTGAAAAGGCTCCAAAAACTTACATATCACTGGCAATAGAGGAGTTCCTGGACATAGACTTTGGCGACAGATCATAGTCGCTATCTGACCGGTAGAGAAAGGACTCTCTGCGTTGACTGTGAACAAAATTTGCCTGGAGAATTAGCCCTGATCCAGGGCTTGTCATGGGATCCAAGGGACTCCGTCCCGATGAGGTGCCATTGTCTACATCGAAACTGCAAGGCAATAAGAATATATTTAATGCAATGTAAAACCCAATCAACCCCACACAATTAGTATCAAGGACAACTTTAATTGACTTGGTGACATTCAGTTCAACTTCAAGATTTCCACCTTGTGGTTGGGTGTGATGCGTGATTAAATCCAGTACATCCAGAGAGCACAAGATTAGAAAACTCAAGGAACGTTTTGGCTATATAAAACTTCTTTCTTCTATGAAGCTAGTTTTCAAATGGATAGTTAAAGAAGAAGTTAAAGCAAGGGAAAAATAATAACAAAAGGAAATAATAGAATACAGGAGAAAACAGAATAATTTCCTTCTCCACAAATTTTAATATAGAAAGAAATAAATTTGGCTTAATCGCAACAACATGGTACAGTTATTTCCTGATTGTAAGATTTTTGTAAGTTGTTGGTTCCTTTTTGCACTGGATAAATGTGTCAAACTTTGGAATTTTGAAACTATTCTTGGGGTTTTTTTTTTTTTTAAAAAAAATCAATGGAGAGTTCCCACCCCTAAAAAGGAATATTGTCTATACATATAACATATGTCGGAGAGTAGCTTAGATCAGGGCTTTTCAACCTTTTCACCCATTGTACCACTTTTAGGATATGGCAACATCCGAGTACCACCAGTCACCTAGCAAGGTGTCAAAAACTTGATAACAAAAAAAAGGAAAAAAGTGATAAAGTACAGGTAGTCCTCGACTTACAACAGTTCTCTGTTCAAAGTTACAATGGCACTGAAAAAAGTGCCCCCCAAGCCACAGCCGAGCAAGACAGCGCCCGGCGGTACTCTTCCTCCTGTCCAAGGTTTTCATTGTTGTGAACATTTCTGTTGAGGATTGGCAGTGGGGGTGGGGTGGGAGGGTGTTTGGTTTTTATCCTCCCTGTCTGCTGGGTGGTTGCAGCAGGTTTTGGTCACTTCACATGACCCTGGGACACTGTGACCATCATAAATATGAATCAGTTGCCAAGCATCTGAATGTAAATCACAAGACCCTGGAGATGCTATAACATTCCAGCTGATCGGCGCTTGTTCTGGGCTCAGCAGAAATGCCAGGATCAGCGCCGAGCTCCAGCTGAAGCCTGGCGCTGATCCTGGCGCTTCCACTGAGCCCTGACAGCCCTGCAGCTCCAGCCATCTCTCGCTCAAGCTTGTGCGGTGCTGCCACCGGTTCAGCTCATTCCCCTCCCCCGCTACCACTTTTCTAGGATGGTCACGTACCACTTGCCAGGTGCCAATGTACCACAGGTGGTACCTGTAGCACTGGTTGAAAAGCCCTGGCCTAGATAAGTGCCTTTCTTCATTAATTACAGTATTATGGAACAGTTTGCAAACCCAATCCTACCCATAAAACCCATGATGCTAAATTTGTTTCCTGACTGATTTGCACAACCTTACCCTGCTGTTTTCCATATCATAACATAAAGCCCCAGCAGCTGCAAGATTCAAAAGCATCAGCATAATTCATCATTATGACAGCAGTTCTTTCTAGCACCATAGAAAAATTAAAAAGGCTCTAAGCTTTCTGACCCATTTTTAATTAAAGACTGAGGAGAAAACAGAATACTAGGTTACCTGCTGTTTTTGAGAACTAAGAGAACTTTCCATTAATGTTTTATTGTGCAACTCTCCTGCTTCCATCCTGGAATTTCATTACAATATTGTCCACCCTTTCTAACTCATTATTTTCTCACGTCTATTTCTGGAGTAATTTTTTTCCTTCCAACAGAAAACCTTTCAAGTGGGAAAAGAGAGAGTGCTTGCACTTAAAGCGGTATATAAGTCTCATAAATAAAAAAGAGAAGGGCTGCCTAATATCTTTGGGTGGGGTATTGCTCATCTGGAAACACTTCAATCCCAAAAGATAGGAATGCAGATTTGGAGTCCTCTATGCAATCAGTGAAGGCATGCAGCGCTTGTGCACAGAAGCTGCTTTCTACAGGTAGTCCTCAACTTAACAAGTTTGTTTAGTGACTGTTCAAAGTTACAACGGCACTGAAAAAAGTGACTTATGACTGTTGTTCATAGTTACGACTTTTCCAGCATCCCCATGATTATGTGATCAAAATTCAGATGTTTGGTAACTGGTTCATATTTGTGACCTTTACTGCGTCCCATGATCATGTGATCCCCTTTTGTGACCTTCTGACAAGCAAAGGCAATGGGGAAGCCAGATTCACTTAACAACCCGCCTTACTAACTTATCAACCCCAGTGATTCACTTAACCACTGAGGCAAGAAAGGTCGTAAAATGGGGCAAAACTCACTTAACAACAGAAATTTTGGGCTCCATTGTGGTCTTAAGTCGAGGACTGCCTGCATTAGGTTAGATAATCTGTCTGCCTAACCAGAGCTGTCCATTTGATGTAATGATAACTCTTCAGCAGTCCAAAAGAAGCCCAATTCTGATAAGAAAACATCCCCTTACTATTATTGCTACTACCTGATTCCTTCAATTGAGCTTTGAATTTTTCTGTGCCTGGAAAGCTGATAAAGCCTTAGTGCTCTTCAAAGATTTCTTCCTGATTCAAATCAACACAACAAAATATTTAGGTGTTTCTGCCACCATGTCCAGGATCCAGATTATATCTTTATTTTGGTATAATATAACAAAGATTCAAACAGCTCATAGCATTACGTGATAGATAAAATCCTGAAATTTTAATAAGAGATGAGAAGTGTTCCTTCCTAATTCAGTCCCTAGGCAATCTTGCTGTTAGTTCTGAATTAACACATTTGGATTGAAAAACTGCATTTGGAACATTTGTAAATGAAGTATTTGTGGCAATACAATACAGTCTCCACTAGATGGAAGCCAAAAACAACAAGGAAACAAGCTCACACTGAATCAATTACCGGTAGCATTTGGATTGGATATTGCTTGAGCATCTGTACTATTTCCTTATGAAATTCTTCAGGTCATAGGGGTAGCAAATTGTATTGATGAATGAAAACAAAACAATAATGAATTGTACTCATATGTGATGCAGTTTTAAGTTCTATTTATATTATTTGTTGGCTTCAATGCTATTTATAAAGCACCTTCTCCAACCCCCAGCTTTTAAATCAAGCCCTTTTATTACAATCCCAGATCAGTTTTCTGAAGAACAATAGACTTATTAAAAAAATTTCTTAATATAAAATACAAGTAGAAATAAAAATACTAGAAAAAGGAGAGGGAAGGGGATAGAAGTAGTGAAGTAAGGGAAGAAAATAAAATAAAATAAATGGCTTCTAACTTCTTTCAGTACAGTAACATACCTAATAGAGTTACAATATCAACTTTTTATTTATAGATGTATTGGAAGAGTGAAGAAGATCTTAAAGCCCAAACTCAGTGGAGGAAATATAATAATCTTCAAATATTGTAACACCTGGGCAATCCCAGTCATAAAATACACATTTGTAATATTGGATTGGACTTAAGCAGAATTACAAGTCCTGTACAGAAGACCAGAAAAGTAATGATGGTGAATTGTGCTCTTCATGCAGGCAGCAACTTTGACACTCTACTTACCAAGGAAACTAGATGGGCACAGAATGTTACAAGTACACCAGAAAATTAAGGAAAGGAAAAAGGGCATTGGAAGAATATCTGAAGGACAGTGAAGAAGATGCATTGAAGCTAGTATACCATGAAGGCATACGGAATATTGGATAGACCAAACTGGCTTATAAGAAAGACCAAATAAGGAACAGAAAAGAAACAGGGCAAGTCAAAGTATTAGATGGCCAGTACATAAAAAAAGGGGACAAGGTAGCTCAATGGTTAAAACACTGGTCTTGTTGGTTGAAAAGTCAACAGCCCAGGTTTGAGACCCAAGTGCTGTATGACGGGGTGAATTCCCATTACTTTCCCCAGCCCCACCCATTTAGTAGTTTAAAAACATGCAAATGCATGTAGACGAATAGGTACCACTTCAGTGGAAAGATGACAGTGTTCCATGCACTTGGCATATAGTTATGCTGGTCACATGATCACAGAAATGTCTTCGGATAACGGTGGCTCCCTCAGCTAAGAATCAGAGATCAGCACCATCCCCACAGTGAGACACGACTGGACAGGGGAAACCTTTATCTTTTCCTTAAAAAAACCCCTAACAAATATGAGAGAACAAGACCTGCCAATAGCTAAAAGTAAGAAAGTTGAACTTCTCCTGCAGAAATGGAGCTTAGATGGTGCTGGTGAGAGGCTATGAGAGCAGTGAGATTAAGGGAGATTTCCTTGTCTTATAATAGTATGAGTACTGAAGGGCAGATCAGAGATTTATTAAGAATTCTTGTTCACTTCAATAATGACTGCTATAAAGGAAAACCTGGGTTAATCTTTCATTATTTCCAGAACAGTAATATGTTTTAATGAATACAAATACATTTTATACTTTGGTTATGTTGCTTTTATTAATAGGATAAATCTATAAGTTGTGAATACATTAGATCAGAATGTAAGAAACAAGAAAACTTACTAATAAGCAACTCTATTAAACCTGTTTCCTTTTTTAAAAAACAGCAGCAATAAAAAAAAAATACACGCACATTCTGCATTCCCAACTTTCTGGCTACGTATAAATCTGGCTACACAGAGCATAAAATGTCCTTAAGTAAACATAATAAGAACATGGAATACTGTTGAATATCAAGCCAGCCCATCATGTTCAGTACTGTTTACAGAGGTTCTCCAGAGTTTCATACAAGAATCTTGCAATCTGAAGATGCCAAGATCTTCTATATGCAAAACATGTGTTCTATCATTGAGCTATGGCCTATTTAAAAACTAGGTGTGTAAAACATGTACCCAGGCACAAACCTGAATAAGCATTATTCATTGATAATTAGACAGGAGGATTTTAAGCAAAGTTTTAATGGATGAATTGTGTAAGTTAATTGTTTTAAACTTACATCCCCTTCAGGTAAATAAAAGTCACTTGATGTCACCTATCAACTTTAACAGCTCCCCTACTGAAACATCTATTCATGATATTCTCTCTT